GCACAAGAGTTTCGTAAGAGAGTGATAAACTTGAGAAACTGTTACGGCTCACGATAGATGAAGAATCAAGAAAGCAAATTTCTTAGATAAATAGCTATCATTCGACCGGATGAATGGAAAGAACGATATAATGAACGCTTTATGATCTAGCAGATTCCAGCAGATGGAATATATGTTTCGACAATGCAAACTGACTAAAGAAATAATAATCACTTCGAATTATTCAAATCGGTGTTGCAATGCATTTGCCATTTCGCACACATAGGAATAGCAGAAACAAATTGCATCCTCACATCTCGTTTGATCGGAGTTTAAAGTTTTCTATGGACGAATAATCGACAATCTTTGATTGCATTCAGAGACGTCCTCGGTATCGCTCGTTATCATTTCGTCTCGTTCACAAACATTTTTGTTAAGTGCATTTGAAAGAATTTTATGGTCACTACTTTTTATTTACGACACGACAATTTGTTATCTCGGCTTTATCGGTAGTACTATCCGTGCCTGCACTCAATGCTTACTAGATTGCATTAAAGCATCACAAACTACATGAACAAATGCTTGCTTAATCGTTAAACTGACAAAATAATTTTCTTTCTATCGTAAACAGTTCATGATCATTCCATTGCCTTTTTAATTTTCCTAAAATAGAAGAATGAACTGTAATCAAAATTATCAGCTAGCTTATTAGTTTCATCCATTGCCATTTGTTTTGAAAGTATCTTTGGTTATTTCGCAAAATTATGTTATCTGCTCGGAAACATTGTCAGTTGAAGCACACTTGTATAATCCATCCCAATTCGTTCAGATGTCACTTATAATAGCTAACATCAGAAGAAAATTGCCGAAAAAATAATGTTGCTGTGGAATGTGAAACAATAAATTGATGAGTTTCAGAGGAAACGAACTGAATTCGTCTGTCTCAGATATGTCCAGCATTAAACAAATAAATGCTCGAGAATGTGATAGAAATTTTTTGCGGGCTCGACATAATATTCATGCAGCAGCTAGTTGCTTGAGGGTCGAATTGCTCTAGTGATGAATCTTTTCTTGAGGGCTCCTTGCCGTTCACTCCCTCTGGGCGTGATATCGATGGCGAATATGAGTACATTGTTCTCGGTATGGAGTTTTTTTTTGCAGTCTAATTGAAAGATGAAATTAATCGCTGGAAAAATCGGCTCGTTACCAGTGAAGATCTCTTCGAATGGATTACACATGTCATTTCAGCGATCAGTCCAGCTCTGACTAGCCAACTTGTTCATCGAGTATTCAATTTCAAGAAGCCAATAAAACGCTAGCATGCAATACTAGATAACTGATCGAGGTGCATTGATTGGCAATTAAGCGATATGATTCTGTAATGAGACAGAAATATTTCATCGCATGTTCATAGGAATCGATAACAGACAGCACTCACAGATGACTGACTGTAAATTCTCATCGTTGTTCATTGATGTTTGGTTTTGGGTTTCATAACAGTCTGCAAAAAAAATCGAATTTAGCATTGAAATGACATGCAACTGTAACTTTAAC